AAATGATTTAAAAAAAAAAAAAAATGACAATCCCATCATATGCCTACATATATACCAATCAGAAAATGACAATGCCCATCATATGCTCAGAATCATCACCAGAAAAGTGGCGACGACCTTGGGCTGCTCGGTCGCCGTTTTGCTCTCAACTACTCGAAATAAGCATCTGGAAAACAACAAAACATAAGAAAAAAAGGCAAGTGAAAAGATGACCTCAATGACATATGCAGTTCGATTGGACACTAAAAATAAACAACTACCCATGTCAGAGATGCGAGGTGCATCAGCCACATTGATTAGCCGGCAAAGAAACCGCAAAGTCGGATCTGCAACTAATTTTGCAAGCATTCTATGGAGTTTTATTCCACCTAGCTATGATCTCATCGAACCGTTTATTATTACAGGGTTTTTTTTCTTATGAGATACAAGTGCAGTCAACCATGTCCTAGTAAAGCTATAAACATTGGTGGCAGATACTTTGAAAATAACAAAAGCATATCATCGATGTGATAATCATAATAAATAACCCCACAATTTTAAACTTAAACCAGTCTTCCAACTTCCATGATATAGTTTATTCATCCGAATATGATTGAAACATTAAACAAAATAAACGAAATTAAACACAAGCTCCCAACTAAACCGCAAACGGAATTGGCGTGGGCCAAGGTGGATGCATGAGAACAAAGGACGCGAGACCCTCGTGGCCTATGGATTCCCGAAGCTCACCGAGCTTGCGACACTTGTCCTTGGAAACCCCACACTCGTAAACACTCTTTCCACATATGACGAAAATCGAATCACAATCTTTCGGATGAAATACGGCTGCCACCACAGTATCCCGGTCACCATCAGCACTGACGGCATCCGAAATCTTCAACTCCCTCTCCCCAACCAAAGACCACGGGCCGTCCCAACGGTCCAATTCCCAAACCCTCATGACGAAGCATTTTGGGCCCGGCCCGTTTTGAGTTCTCAAAACGTGCAACAACCTCAACTCATCCCTCACGGCACTAATGTGGACCGTCGAGTCGGGCGAGTAATGGGTGGTGTTTTCACGCACAATCTCCGGGAAGTAGATTACGGCACACCGATTATCAGCCAAATCTAAAGAAACAATGCGGTCACAGTTACTGAAACCGTCCATCCAGTACAGAATCCCATTGCACGAAACGACATTGGCGATAACGGTATAGTCCAGGCGAGCAGGAAGCAAGAAGGAAGATCTGGTCCATTTCCCCGACTCAGAGCAAAACACCCACACTGGTTGTTTATATGTATCAACAATGTGTGTTGCTTCTGCGTAAGCCGGACCAATCATATCGAGAAGTACCACCTTGTAAGAATTCTTATTGCATATTAGTGCAAATCCTGCCCTTGTTCCAAGAGGGGTTTCTCTAGGAATGAGAAACCACTTTTTAGTCACCGGGTTACAAATGTAGTACCTCTGATGGTGGTAGCGAAAACGGCCATCCAAAAAATACTTATCCGGGGACACGAGCAACAAGTCATTGCACGATGCTCTTACGATCATGAGTGAAGGCATGAAGTCGAGATAGTTAGACGATAACAGTACATGCTTTCCGTGGATAAGCAAAGATTCCTCCGAGAAAAGAGTGCAAACCAATTGAAAGTACTCTGGGGTCTCATGAATATGAGAAGTATAATTCATGCGGAAAAGAATGGTGTAGGATTGATCTTGATCTTGATGGAGGCGGATGAAGCTAGGGATGAATTGCGGTTGAGAGATCAACACATGCCAACGCCGACAAACAGAGCTCAACTGGATAACACATCGACAATTCGGGAGTCTAACAAGGATCTCCGACAATAGGTCTTCACCGACATTAGACAGCAAAACTTCTAATGCTCAAAAATGAATAAATGAGTATTTAGCAACCAGTTAAGAGTATCTAATCATGTAGTTTATGTTGTTATAGCAACAATCTCAATTACCGAGTCCATTGTCAACAGAGACCTCAATGCTTGTCCTCCCCCTTTTACTACCGCTTTCCTGATCACAAATATGTAGATATGCATATATATATGATTAAAATGTACACTAATTTGTTAAAATTACACACAACCCATTTGTAATATCAAAAAAGCAAGCACATAACGCGAAAGCGTGCCAATAGTACATCTATTCAGATTGTTCATTGGTGTTCTTTTCTTTTCCTTCTTATTGTTGTATACAAAAGATCTGTTCAAAAATATTTAGAGGTGTTTGGGTCAATTTTATGAATTTGATTTACAACATCACGGGATATAATAACAATACAGAAAAATAAAAACTGAAATTAACTTGAAAAACTAAACAAATAAAAAAAACTAAACCTTATGTTTCAAATTAATTTACGGGGATATAAATTTGAGAATGGACCTGATTAATCATAATATTGGGATTGGAATTGGGAATATTATCCAATTGCGGGGCGGCCACCAGAAGAGCAACATGTATGGGTAATATTTTCATGTTTGGTCCCTTTCCAGATATTCCCCATACAACTCTCGGGTCTGTTATAAAATAATCAATTAAAAAAAATAACCCAAATTATAAACACAAGGAAATGAGAAAAGTACAAGAGAAATATTTTTTACCTATGATCGTCATAACGCTTGACTCCTCTTCTTTTTCCTCAGAGTTGATTTTAGGGAAACTCTTTGTCTATGAAAAATAGTACACGCTGCATAAATAAATAAAGAGCAAAAGTGGTGGAAAAAAATATAGTTACCAAGTCAATAAGGAATAGGAATAAAGACTAAAAGGAATACATAATATTTGAATAAAATTCAAATTCAAGCTCGAGCTTTCGCTTCAAGTGCGGTGAGTTTTTCCAAACACAATCGCCATAACCCAGAAGAAGAGCGCTAGTGGGGGCTCTCTCTGAGTGTCAGCAAAAATTGAAAGCGGGAAAAGTATTTGTTGTGAGTAGATATGTTAGGTTTAACAGAAGGGGGGCGAGCACAAGTTTGGATCATTTTCTTTCCGGCCCTCCAACTTGTGTGATATTTGCTCTCAATAAAATGGTAAAAAGAAAATAGAAAAAATCAGTATATTCCAATGAACACATTGAAATTCTTAACAGTTCAATTATGCACACGATTATGTGTACTGTGAAAAAATTAATAATGCTGATAAAACATAATTAAACTTAGGTATATTAAAAAAATTAAATATAACCAGCGAAATGTCGAAAAGTAGTACTGATGATTAAGTAATTGGAGAAGTCCTCAATTTTCTTTGAGTAATGATACATTAACAACCTAGTGTACAACTAGGTTGACAACACAAGTAAAAACATCCATTTGTGTATTTTTTTATTTTTATTTTTTTTAAATGTTTTCACTTGTGTTGTCAACCTAGTTGTATACTAGGTTGGCAATGTAGCATTACTCATTTTTTTTTTTCTAAAAACACCTCTAATCATGCTATCTGTGAGATTTGCAATGTGTTGAATGGGATCTCTAGGGTTCACTCATCCAGGTATTTGGGACTGCCACTTGGCATTGGTAAAAATAAGAGGGAAATATTCAATTTTGTGAGTGAGAGAGTGAAACAGAGAGTGTGTAGCTGGAAAAATGGGTTCTTGAGTGAGGCAGGTAGAGAGGTTCTTATTAAATCGGTCTTAGCTGCTCTTCCTACTTTTGACATGTCATGTTTTAGAATTCCAGTTGCTATTTGCAAGGCTATTTGTGCTGATATAGCTAGATTCTGGTGGGGTCGAAGGGGGGAGGGAAAGAGGAAAATCTACTGGTCTGGGTGGGAGCACCTAACCAAACCTAAGGATAAGGGGGGTCTTGGCTTTAGAAATCTCAGAATGTTTAATGAAGCTTTGATTGTTAAACAGTTATGGAGACTGATTACTAAGCCCAACTTGCTGGTGAGTAGAGTTTTGAAAGGGAGATACTTTTGGAACCAACAGCTTATGGAGGTGTCTTGTAAAAATTCTGACTCATGGTTGTGGAGGAGTTGGATGAAGGCCAGAGAGTCTCTGAAAATGGGGCTGAGATATAGAGTGAGGGATGGCAAGAGTACTAATATCTGGCACTCTCCATGGCTGTCAGCCCTTCCTTCATTTAAACCTGAGTGTCAATTCCCCAGTGATAAGGTGAGGTTGCAGAAAGTGGAGGATCTTTTCCAAAAAGGGGCCAGGGAGTGGGATGTGGAGTTAATCCTTCAATCTTGTAAACCACAAGATGCTGAGGCTATCCTCAAGATCCCTTTGAGTCACTGTGGCCAAAAAGATAGGCTCATCTGGAATTAGCATGTTAAGGGTGAGCTTACTGTTAAATCAGTCTATGAGTACTTAATTCAAAGGCATGCACAAGGAGAGGCAAGTTCCAGCAATCCACACCTGATAAAAAAGATGTAGAATACAACATGGGCGCTGCCAATAAAAAACAAAATCAAGAATTTCTTGTGGAGGTGTTGGTTTGGTTTCTTGAGCACTAGGGTGAGTTTGCAGAAGAGAGGGTTTGAGGGGGATGTGTGGTGTCCAGTCTGTGGTGAAGAGAAGGAAGATATTGATAACATATTTTTCCACTGTGAGAGAGCTAAAACTTGTTGGCAACTGATTGGCATAAGTTGGCAGAACTTGATCTCAGTGAAAGGTATATTTAAAAACTGGTGGTATGATATTTGTTCAAAAGACAATTCTGTTAGCTTGTGTGATAGAATCAGCCTGTCAAGCTACCTCCTTTGGTGGCTTTGGAAGACTAGGAGCGGCTGGGTATTTGAGAAAGTGAGAACAACAGAGGTGGTGATTGTCAGAAAAGCGAGGGAGGAATGGTCTGAATTCTCAGCAATCTTAGAAGCACAACGGGTCAAGGGCAGACAGTTAATAGATCAGAAGCAGATTGGGATATCAACTGAGGTGGGAGATAACTATCTGGGAGTAGGGCATGCTATCATAGCTGTCAGTGCTCTATCTACCATCCCAGGATTCTTAAAGCTTGGAGGTGGCATTATTAGTGAAGGGAGCTTGGCACAGAAATGGGCTGAAACAAGGAAGTTTACAGGCACTAAGGAGGAGGGCAGGCTGCTGGCTGTGAGATGGCTGCTGAAGAATGCTGCAAATTCCAACTTCCAGTCCATTACATGCTGTGTTGATGATAAAGGATTTGCTGCGAAACTTCAAAAACAAGACTCCTTCCACTGTGATTATGGTATTCTTGCAGATGATATTTATGCTTTGCATTCTAAGTTCCAGAAATGTATTTTTGTTTGTAATGTTGCTTTAGGTTCTCTGTGTAGTTCTGTAGCCGATATGGCTGTCGAGGGGAGGTAGATAGCATTGCCTCCTCATGTGTTAGGATTCTAGATTCTAGAATTGTTGCATCTGTAGTCATTTGACTTGGCGATTGTACTTTGACTGTTGAGTTTTTATTGATAATTTCTATGTTTGTGGAAAAAAAAAAGATTAAGTAATTGATTATGTAAAATTAATTATTTTAATTATTTGAAAAGTAATTATTTACCTACACAAAATTGACTTAGGACTTGTCCTCGCAAGTGAATATTTTGAATTGAATTAAATCATAATATACATTAACCCTCTAAACTCATAAATCGATACATTGATCTAAAAATCTGCTCTACACAATAATATAATCAGCTTTCACTCGATTACTTGCTCTAATTATTGATGTTGAGCAATTGAGGAGATAAAATGATTGATCACATGTCTTTTAATGTGTTGCGAGTGGGGTCGAGTTCACGACCCAGCAAATGACGAAAACAAGTAACAATGAAAACAGGTAACAATTATGTTGAGTAAAATTTAGGGGAAAAAAAAAACTATCACAAGATTTCATCCCTACTAATGAGAAGTGGAAAAAGAGCAAGCATATCAAAATCAATAGGATGCAAACTACAAATCAACATGCTTTCAAGAGAGCAACATTTAACTTATCCTTCAAACTCTCTCCATTGCCACCTTCATTCTCCGCCCGAACAGTAAACGTATGAACAACTTCACCGCCATCGTTTATCTTCACTATCAACTCTTTAGCCGACACTTTCTCATCTCTCAAAGGTTCTAGAACCTTCAAGACCGAATGCCCCTCGATCAGGCAACTAAACCTCACGACCCCATCATCGTGAAAATCGACGTCCATCACCCATTTTTGAAATTTTGGCATGATTGGTATATTGGAGTGTAATTTTATAGGAATGGAATGAGTTGGAGAATGGAATAAATATAGGAAAGGAATGAAATAAGTTTTTTCCATTGATGTGTTTGGTATACAGAAGGAATAAGACCTGAACGGAATGACATTATCATTCTATATTATCATTTATCACTATTTTATAGAAAAAAAATAATATTTATATTAATGTTAATTTTTTCTTTATTATAATAATAAAATTATTTTATTTTCTTATAAAAAAATACTATATTTTGATAAATATATTTTTGTATTGTTACACTCATATATATTATATAATAAATTAGTGAACTGTGTATTCTTGTACATATTAACTAATACAAATATATCATTACATAAACCCATATAAGCATATGCGGTCGAATATAATTTTATTATAATTCAATTTATGAATAAATATATAATGTATATGATGTACAAAAATAAAATAATATAATTTTAAATTATTTATAAAAGTATTTTTTAGTTTTATTTTTATATAAGTATTTAATATATTTAATTATAATATGAACAATAAATAAAAAAAGTTTTTAATTTTTTATTTGAAATTTATTTTTTAAAATAATTTTATTTAATATAATTTAATCGTGATTTATAGTATATATATTTATGTAATATAGTAATTTTGGATAATTTTGTTAAAAAGAAATTAATAAATTCGTTCACAATGAATTTGGAATGAGTAAAACCATAGATTATGGGAGGAATGAATAATCCCAGAATAATAGGAATAGTGATTCTATGGTAATGGTCATTCTTTAACAACAAAAGATACCAAGTATAGGAATGGAAATCAAATAAGGAATGATCATTCCATTCATAGTCCCATTCTCATATACCAATCATGCTCTAATGCATACCGCTAATCAAAATCTCACTCAATTCTCCACTCAACCAACTTTATTCAAAATTAACTAACTTTAATCAATAAATCTGTTCAAATCGATTTTTTACTTATATCTAATTACCCCCTCAATCCCCACCCATATATCAAATGGAAACAAAGAACACAAACATTAGTCCTACTAGAAAAAGCAATGGGATTCTAGCTTTTTAGCAAATTAGCAAAACATAATAATAATTAAAAAAAAAAGGCTTAAACAATACAAACACTTCACAATTACCATCAACAACACCATTAGTTTTGTACAAAGTAAAAGCCCCAAAATCCAAAAACAACATTACACAATCTCTAATAACCATATTTATAGTCTCCTCCAGTTTGCTTGTAGCCATGCTGATGACCATGAGATGATGCATAAGGATTATATCCTTGACTTCTTGCTGGCACTCCGCCAGGATTTTACCCACTGCTAATGGCCTCGGCAAGCGAATTCTTCATCGTACAATGCAAGCAACAAACATGTTATTAATTACTGGATTAGCCAGTTGAATTGTTCGAAATAGCAAAATTTAGAATTTTGTATCAAGAGATAAAAGAAACTGCCAGAGGTTCAGAGCATAATATTGGGGATGAGAATATTAGAATTTTAACTAGAAATGTAAAACCTGGTAAAGGAGAAACGAATGTCATGCAGGATTTGTAAGACCACAATTTAAAATTGCAAAATTCGTTCATTTGATTTAACGGCTCATAATATGAAAAAAAAAAAAAAAAAAAAAAAAAAAACGGAAGCAGAAGTAGTTATATAAAGGCGCTCAAAAACCTGTATCAACTGTTGAGCTGTTTGGACTTGCGCTGAAGACCCATTTATTTCCACAGTCATCTCATCAGGAACACCTTTAGATCCCTGCACTATGATAGTTGCACCACTAGCACGAAGAATGTAACTAATATTTGAACCATTGATGCCAATAACCGCATCAGCATATAAAAGTGGAATCTGCATATTCTGCGTGACCTGAAGAAAGTGAATAGGAAATAAAACGGCAATAACTGTGAGAAATAATTAAGCAATTCGAGCTAGTTCTGTATGACAAGTTAACAGATATCTTTGAGGCTTTGAAGTTTAGTGTTTGCTAATACATGTGCACATACTGCATTAAGTAATTTCCAAATGTTCGTTTTTTCTTCCTTACTGGGTATGAAATCCAATCCCCAAAGAGAGAAATATCTCGGGCAATATCAGTTGGGATCACAATAATTTCAACACTAAAAATCTTGGAGTAGGAATGGAACTGACACAGGTTAAACATTATAAACACCACACAACACAACACAACACCTTATGATAAAGTTGAATACATCAAACAGGAAGTAGTTAACTCACCAACATAAGCATTTACCGTTCATTTTCATCTATCATAATGATATTCAGGCGAACAATTCTAAAAGATTACATCAAGTAAATTGAGAATATAAAAGAGAAAGCAACTCAAGCAAACTCAAAATAAAACAAGTAAAATTTCTAGCCAACACACCATCATAAAAGAATAGCGCACGTGCAAAAACAAACACCCAAAAAATAATACATATCATTAGCCAAACACCTAAAAAATAACATACATCATTTTCAAATATCTTAGGCAAACCCAAAACAATTAGGTCAAACACGCCACAACCCACAAAGATTAAAAAAAAAATAATGAAAAAAAACACAAAGAAACAAACATCACTCTTCAGACACAAATACACATGTATATACAACTTTATAGGCACAAGATCTTGAAGAATCCCCAACAACAATCATCAACCAAAGGGTTAAGGAAAAACTGAAACAAAAGCAATAAGAAAAGCGGCAGACAAAAATACACGCACCAAATTGAAAAGGAAATAATGTAAGAAAAAAATAATAATGACAATCCCATCATATGCCTACTAATCAAAAAATGACAATGCCCATATGCTTGGAATCATCACCAGAAGTAGCGACGACCTTGGGCTGCTTGGTCGCCGTTTTGCTCTCAACTGCTCGAAATAACCATCTTGAAAAACAACAACAAACCATAAAATAAAAAATAAAAAATAAAAACAAAAACAAAAACAAAGCAAGTGAAAAGATGACCTCAGTAACATTGGACACTAAAAACAAACAACTACCTATGTGAGAGATGTGAGGTGCATCAGCCACATTGGTTAGCCTGCAAAGAAACAGCAAGGTCGGGTCTGTAACTAATTTGTGGGCATTCTATGGAGTTTTATACCACCTAGCTATGATCTCGTCGAACCATTCATTAATACGGGGTTTTTTTCTTATGGAATATAAGTGAAGTCAACCAGGTCCTAGAAAAGCTATAAATGTTGGTGGCAGGTCGGACGAAAAAAAAATAAATAAATAAATAAACTTTGAAAATAACAAAAGCATATCATCGATGTGATAATCATAATAAATAACCCCGCAATTTTAAAATTAAACCACTCTTCCAACTTTCATGATATAGTTTATTCATCCGAATATGATTGAAACATTAAAAAAAATAATATAATGAAACCGAAATTAAACACAAGCTCCCAACTAAACCCCAAATGGAATTGGCGTGGGCCAAGGTGGATGCCTGAGAACAAAGGACGCAAGACCCTCGTCGCCTATAGATTCCCGAAGCTCACCGAGCCTGCGACAAGTGTCCTTCGAAACCCCACACTTGTAAACGCTCTTTCCACATATGACAAAAATCGAATCACAATCTTTCGGATGAAAAACAGCTGCCACCACAGTATTTCTGTCACCATCAGCAGTGACGGCATCCGAAAACTTCAACTCCCTCCCGCCAACCAATGCCCACGTGTCGTCCCCACGGTCCAATTCCCAAACCCTCACAACGAAGCATTTCCCGGCCCTCAAAACGTGCAACAACCTCAACTCATCCCTCACGGCACCAATGTGGACCCTCGAGTCGGGCGTGTAACGGGTGGTGTTTTCACGCACAATGTCCGGGAAGTAGATTACGGCACACCGATTATCGGCCAAATCTAAAGAAACAATGCGGTTGAAGTTATATACACCGTCCATCCAGTACAGAATCCCATTGCACGAAACAACATTGGCGATGAGGGGATAGTCCTTTGTTGGGCGCCTAGGCACCAACAAGAAATAACTGGTCCATTGCCCCGACTCAGAGCAAAACACCCACACTGTTTGTTCATATCTATCGACTTCTGCATCAAGCAAACTAATCGTGTCGAGAAGTACCACCTCGTAAGAGTTCTTATATTGCATATTAATCCAAACCCTGACCTTGTTCCACGAGGGGTTTCTCTAGGGATGAGAAACCACTTTTTAGTCACCGGGTTACAAATGAAGTACCTCTGACGGCCGCGGTAAAAACGGGTATCGGGGGACACGAACAACAAGTCATTGCACGATGCTCTTACGACCATGAGTTGAGGCATGAAGCCGAGATAGTTAGACGATGATAATAATGCGTGCTTTTCGTGGATAAGCAAAGATTTCTCCGAGAAAAGAGTGCAAACCAATTGATAAGAGCCCGAGGTCTCTTAAGAAAAAGATAATTCATATGGAAAAGAATGGTGTAGGATTGATCTCGATCTTGATGGAGGCGGATGAAGCTAGGGATGAATTGGGGTTGAGAGATCAACGAATGACAAGGATCTCCGACAATAGGTCTTCATCGACATTAAACAGCAAAACTTCTGATGCTCGAAAGTGAACAAATGAGTATTAGCAGCCGTTTAGAAGTATCTAATTATGGGGAATCACTACAGTCCCGCCATGGATGATTATGTGATTAGTGTAGGATAGATAATCTATGTTTAAAACATATTAACGGAATCATTTTGTGACGGGACAGTAGTCAGTTCCCTAATTTATGTAAATAATGTTATAATAGCGATCTCAAATTCTCAATTACCGAGCCCATCGTCAATGTTGTCATCAGCACAGAAGACCTAAATGCTCGTCCTCACCCTTTTACTTATACCTCTTTCCTAATCACAAAAATATAGAAATTCATATATAGAGTTACTGTATTCAAACTGCTGCTGATATTACAGAAAAATTAAAACCTGAAAATAATTCAAATTAATTCGAGGATTAAAATAATTAGTTGGAGAATGGGACCTGAAGAATCAGAAGATTGGGATTATTATCCAATTGAATTTGAGAGGCGGCCACCAGAAGAGCAACATGGATGAGTGACATTTTCATGTCGGGTCTCCTTGCAGATGTTCCGAATACAACTCTTGGGTCTGGACTCCTTGCAGCTGAATACCTCTCTTGGGTCTGTTATGATATCAATTTCAAAATAAAAAAAAAAAAATCAAATTATAAACTCAAGGAAAAGGAGAAAAATATAAGAGAAGAGTTTGAGTACAACACTTGACCTAGGTGGTGATAAAATTAGTATTTTATTATTTTTGATTATTTTTCACTTAATTACTCAATACTTTTCTGTTTCTTGCTTGGGTCGTTTACTTCGAAGGACGGGACAGGATAATTAAAATTGTCCCGGATTAACCTGTATTTACTTTGAAAGATTGGGATGGGCTCTGTGTGATGTGGAGCACATGTGGCTGCGGGTCCCACTTCTAAATCACCTATTGGCCGATTATTTCATCCCGGCCTCCCCACGAGACAATTTAATCCCTGGCCATCCATTCCTATTTTACCCTCAATTTTTTACTTGAAAAGACGAAAACCCCCCAATTGTTAATGTGTTTACTAATTTGTACCTTATCAAATAAAAAAGGGGCCATTTGCCCTAGTTCTTGCAAGAGCGTGTGTACTGTCGAGAAGAAGCACAGTGACAGCGGCGGAAGTGAATATTCATCGGGCCAAAGGTAATCAAGAAGAAATATTAATTTGTGATTTCTATTCCTCAAAGTATAAACCATAGCTATTGCTCCTGAGAGTAGCAGTTGCTATATTCCAAGTCATCTTTGGCTTAAGCTTGTCGGACTTAAAGCGGAACTGAGCTTCTCACTAACAAAATCATAAGTGTTAATATGACTCATATATTGACAAAGGAAAGAGGCAGGCCGATGCCTGTGCGAGCGGAGCGGAGCGAGTGAATAATAAGATCTCTGCTCCGCCGTGGACGTAGGCATATTGCCGAACCACGTAAATCTTGTGTCATTTACATTCTCGTCTTTAATTCGTATTGTTCCCGTTTCACAACAATAAGCTTCATGTCATTAAACGAAACTCGGAAAGACTGTGGTTGTCGACTAAATCTGATTCGTAGATTGCTAATTGATATTTTTTTTATTTTTTATTTTTGTGTGCAAAAACCCAATTCATATTGCGTCCGTTATATAGATTTGCCCTCATATTGATTTTGTCGATCTCCAAAACCCGATCAACTGAGGAATGCCGTCGGGGCCCACGTCGTCTCCGTCTTCGATGTTATCGCCGTCGCTCGTTGCCTCAAATTAGGGCTCGACAAATTTTTTTGAAAGAGGCCAAAATGAGATCCCCAAGCTTCTGGTTCAATTTTCTACCATGGAAGGGCAATTTAGTCATGTCAAATGCTTAACAAGTTTCACAATTTTTAATACCATAATGTAAATGTAGGACAAACTGATGATATGGAAAGTTGTCTGTATACAAAGTTGTTATTTTTTTTTTTTTTGTTGATACCGAGGTTCCAGGCTTGCGCCTGACTAGTCGTCGAGGAAACAGCTCCAGTCCCTCAGACACTGCCTCCAATTAAACCGCGGTAGCCACACAATGGCTCCCAGATACTTAATACCCTTTAAACCGCGGTAGCCACACAATGGCTCCCAAGTACTTAATACCCTCAACTACCGCGCACAAGGAGCCGATCCCCAAGTGATCGCTCGCTGGCCCTCCCAGCTCCAAGTTGACCCCACCTATTTAGCCGCTGGTTCCCACCGAAGTGATAGCTCGCTGACCCTCCCAACTTCATGGCACCACCTATCCAGCCGCTGGTTCCCACCGAGTTTCAGCCTCCCACACTGCCGCTTGAAGTCCTCAGTATTAATTGTTCCACCATTGCGCTCTGGGGGGCTCGAACCCTTAACCTCATGTCAAGGGTGTCTCACTCTTACCACTAGGATTATTTTTTCACTCTTAACTTGGATTGATTCTAATTGTCCTTACCGCTAGTTGTCTGGTGATATTGAACCATAGGTTTAGGCATGTCATGTGTTTGCCTTTTGCTTTTGCTTACTTACGTATCACAACTAGTTGCACAATTGCATACCGGTTGTTACATGAGCCGTTCGACTTCAGAACAACAGTATGTGCATCATATGACTTTAGGTGTGCATATTTGAGGCATGTTTGTTAGTATACTTATAATTCGACTCGTTAAAGCTCAAGAGCGACTCGAAAAACTTGTATAATCAAAGATAGACAGATAAAGAACTGAAGCAGCAAAGGAAATGTGATTCATAAGGGTGCAATGTCTTATCCAATATTACACCTGTTTGCACTCTGCACAAAAACACAGAACAGGAGAAAACAAAGTGGATTGGGTAGCTAGCTCCGAGCTTGGATTAATGAAGAATTTGCAGCTGAATCAATACTTTAATAAGATAAGCACAAATTTGAAACAGCAAAAATGTGTTTAAACATACCGTATACCGCCAATTTAGTTTGTTGCAGAGGTTAGTTATATGTTCTCTCTTCTTTTCTTCTTATTAATAACATTGGTAAGCACCTTCTTCAACTTTCATTTATTTGTCTATATGTAAATGTGAGATTTTTATTTTTATTTTTTCTTTATGCTGCTTTTGTTACTTGGATTGTTAGCCTCAAACGTGATTTCACATGCTGTTCTTTTTTCTATTTTATGTGTATTATTATAATATCAGCATCTCCTTCATGGAAGCTTCTAGAACGTGCCAGATTGGAGAGTGTCTCGAACTTTGTGGGATGTTCCAGAAGCATCTAGCACAACCCAGAAAATGTGGAAAGTCTCAGAATATTACGGAAGGGACTAAATGCATGAAGACTTTACGGAAGGATGTGTAATATTTTAGAGCCAAGAAAAGTAAGTTTTGTGGAGGCTACTGGAATATTATAGATGTTACTTATGTTATAGAATTATGTGAATAAGTTTGAAATATTTTAAGGTAATTGTAATACTCGGTGGAATAGTATTAGTTGATTGTAGAATAGATTAGAAGAGGCAAAAATGTTCTAGACAATTCTTTTTAGAGAAGGGTATGTTTAATAAATAAGAGAAGTTGAGCTAGTGAGTGGTATAATAGAATAGCTATAATGTTTTGATCTTGATAAGTAATGAATGAATGAGTGTGTTGTATAATAAGATAGTTAGGATATATTGATATTAATAAGAACGAAAAGTAGGGATATGCATGCTGTGATAGCTTCAATGAGGCAGGTAGGCTAACGGGCTTCAATGAGGCAGGTAGGCTAACGGGGAATGAGGCAGGTAGGCTAACGGGGAGGGCTTTGCACTAATTCTTCAGTTGCATAATTTATTTTTAAAATCAAAACTTGTTTTGTAAAAACGGTTTCTAATCAAATGTGTATGTGTATTTTTTAATGATATTTTGCTATTACTATGTGTTTTTTTTTATGGTAATTTGCAAATTATTTAAGATATTTTGCTAATATTTTGCTATTACTATCCTTCATCAGTCACAAATTCGAACCATTTTTCAATTAGCAACCAACAAAAAATTCTCTTTATGTTCATGATTTAACTAATTGCCTCACATGCCTCATGTAGATAGTGAATACCCAAAATTTATGAAGCAAATGACTCCAAACTACCTAGAAACTTAACTCCATGCCTAATTGACAATCATATCATATCGCACAATTAATAAGAACTTTGAGTTTGCCCTCTCCTTACCTCCCTAGTCCCTACCATCATATTTACACTCGTACACTCTCATCCCCAACAAATCTCGTATGGACTGTATTACCACGAAACACGTTGCATGCAGTGGTTGTTCTCCGGAACCCATGAGCTGAAAATCGAGGAGAAGGGACGGTCTGCGTGGGCCAATTGTGCGAGTGCTCTCGATCGTGAAGGAGTCGTCTGAGCTCGTGTAGTGGGACCAATTGTCTGGGATGTCGGTGAGATTCTTGGGAGTTGGGGACTGCCTTTTGTTTCCTCTTACCAACATTCGTCTGACATGTTTCCCAAAGTCGGTTGTTTTGACGACCGTTGGATTTTCAAAGGGGCAGTGCTCGACCCGTGTTTTGTGCCCGTTGCAATTTCCGGCCTGCCGTGAAGATGACATGAATGGAAAATCATATATTTTTTGAACAAAATAAACAATAAAACCATCCAACCACCGATACATTTTCCCCGGACGATTTTTAGGAAATCAAAATATAAAAAATTGACTCAAATGTTTGTCATTTCCCTAATCCTTCCAAGAATTAACTTACCTCATGTAGAACAGAATATAAGCTCCTCGAGACATCACTAGACCCACTTCTACTGGCTTGACCTAAAAGTAAAGCCACCAAACGAAACGATACTGAGAAATTCGAATCGCCAATGGGTCAGCTTAGGAAGGTCGTAAATACACTTTAAAACGAACACACGACATATAAAAACATTTGCATCAGAAACTACATAAAAAAATAGATATCAGACAATTTTATGCATCATCATCAAAATCGGAAAATCCAGGAAATGCAATTTAAAATCCTTTCAGATTTAAAAGCATCAGATCACGAAGACCTCAGATTCAAACAAACTACACGAACCCTAGAAATTTCAATCACAAATTTACAAAAATCACCAACGCAAAGCAACCATTCGAAAGAGGACATCAAGTTTCTCTCTGAATAACACTTCGTAACAGCTTCACCGATCCTTTTGCTTCACAAATTATAGTTTCATGCCATTTTAACAAAGTAAACACGAAACGAATTTAGGTTCTGTCAATTGGGAACATTAGGGTTTCGGAAGCTGGAACTCACCTCCTTGGAGCTTCGGCTGCGTATGGCGATGGAATATGGGACCGATGTTCTTCGTGCCCGCTTTTCACTGTGTTCTGTCGAGCTGAATCTTCGTTCGTTCCCCTTCGGGTTGTGCCCGTTGACTTATTAACGGCCCTTTATGTATATGGGCCTGAACGGGCTTTACACGTAATCACATCTAATATATTACGTTTGTCATCACTTTATGAAACCCACTATTTTGGGCCCATGTAATACCTGGGCTTAAGGCACCTACCTCATGGGCTTTATTTATGGTCGCAATGAAGTTTATTAAACGAAGTGAGATATTTGTGAGCTGGGAATGTTGAGGCACGGGTTTGGCTCAAACGAATTTAGCTCGAGCTCGTTGAAAACTCATTTAGTTAATGAAACAGACTTGATCACTCGGGTTGGCTCATTAAAGTCGAACATATATTTTTTTATTTATAATTTTTTAAAATTTGTCTCGTTAATTAAGACTTGAGTTCGATCAGCTCGAGATCGAATCATTCATATTGTAAAGGAGTTGAACTCGAGCTAAACTACTGTCTTGTCTTGTTAAAGAGTCGATCTCCTCAACTTGTTAAAGTCGTTAGACTGGAAATATAGGGATTATAACACAATTTTTTAAATTATTAGATCAACTCGGCTTGTTGAGGTTCAGGCTTGACTTGTTAATATTGTTAAACGAACCGATACAATTAATTAACAAAACAAGTTTAGCTCAAGCAAAACAAGGCTCGAATACGAAGAAATTTAGTTTGCTGCAGANAAAGGTTTAGTTATATGTTATCTCTTTTTTTCTTCTTATTCACAACATTGGTAAGCACCTTCTTCAATTTTCATTTATCTGTCCATATGTAAATGTTAGATTTTAATTTATTTTTTTTGGCTATTTTTTTTTTATCACTGCAGATGAAATTCCAATGTAAAATTCAAACGAAAATATATTCCAATGGAATTCCAACGACAATTCTAATGGATATTTCAATGCTATTATTTCCGTTGAGTTTTTTCAATGAATTCCAACGAAAATTGCAATAAAATATTATGTGGGAATGAGTTTTTCATTGGAATTTCTGTTGGATTTTAGCGATTCCAACGGTACATTGTCCAACGGTTGGAATATGAGTGAAAATAAAAATTCCAACGGAAATTATATATTCCAACTGAAATTCCTACGGCAAAAAGCTGTTGAAATAATGGTCGTTGGAATGATAAAATTCCATACTCATTCCAACGGAAACTACACCATCAAATTATCCGTTGGATTTTTTATTGAAATATTATGTGACATATTTTTGTAGTGTATGTTGCGTTAGTTATGTTGATTATACTCAACCATGATTTATCTGTCTCGAAGGCTGTAGCACAACTTCTGAGCTCCAACGAACTTGAACGAAGTTGATAATTGAGCAGTATGTATATGCGTGAGGCTATTAATGAGTGAAAGTTGAGAATTGAACAGTATGTATATGCTTGAGGCTATGAAAGAGTGGAAGTTGAGAATTGAGCAGTATGTATATGCGTGAGGCTATGAAAGAGTGTAAGAATGCAAACAAGATTGTAAATATCCTCTATAGCTCTATACCATGCAGATGAGAGGGTGAACTGGCAATGGTCGTCACTGTTCGAAAGTTGAGGCCGTATTTTCTAACCCATAAAAGTGCGAGTAAGGATCAATCTACCTTTAGGCGAGACGCTTGGGCGATTAAAATGTTTCAGGTCATTTGGTAAAGTGGACTATCGAGGTCAGTGAGTACACTATAGAATATGAACCATGGAGAGTGATCAAGACTCAGGTTCTAGCTGACTTCATTCAAGAAGGAACGAGTGTCTAGGTTATGGCAGGTCTTCATCGATGGGTCGGTGTCTAAAGGAGTTGCGGGGTTAAAGATCGTTTTAATCTCGCCAAAGGGTGATAACTTGGAGTTTGCGACTAGGTTGGGGTTTCGGGTGTCCAATAACGAGGTCGGATATGAGGTTTTGTTGAAAGGATTGCAATTGGTCATAGATGGAGGAGCCCGACAAGTTCAAATACACTTTGATTCTCAACTGGTCGTAGGATAGGCTTTGGAAAAAATATTTTTCTGTTTAAAGCATAAATTCCTAATATATGTAAAGATACGCGAGTTGCCACTACAAGTGAAACCAAATTAAGATAGATTCTGCTCTAGCCTCTATTCTTCGTGGACACAGCTCAACGAGTGTTTCAACAATCAGATCGCACACATTGACACACATTTGAATTTCTGTTGATTAAACACTAAAAAATTATCATGCATTGTTATGATGAATTCACCTCAAAGACTCAGAATAAAATTTTGAACTCTAGAAAAACTACTTTGAGGAGGTCTTGTTCTGTGGAGTAGAGTGGTGATACTGTACAAATTAGAGTGTTCGACCCTATCGGTAACTGTTCTGCCGTTATTGAACTTTTTACCGTGAGATAAAAGATACATGAGCCGGTTAAAATGTACAAACCAACCGGTTTCGTTTCATCTTTTGGGCCAAGGTAGAAAACATTGGCACGCTTCTCAATTTCCCTTTTCCACAAAAAGCCCTCCACACACCCGCCGACAAAACACTTGCTATTCTCAGCAACAAACAAATAAGTCAAAAAAGCAAATAAAATAGCCCATATTTCGGATATGCAAGAAAACTATTTTAAACTTACTTTAATTAACATTGTTTTTGTAATAAAAACTACCTAATGCAACAAGATTATATTTTATTTTCATCCTTTCTCTACTTAAGTACTTTCTCCCTCTTCTTCAGAGCGTGATTGGATGTAAATAATTAAGGTTTTGATTAAAATTTATTAATAAAAATGAGTTAGATGAAGTGAAATTCAGAGTTTGTATTATAATAATACTCTTTAAAATGACTTTACCAAAATTGAGGTGATATAAAAATAAAAGAGATTATTGAAAATAATATGTAATTAAAAAAATGTGAGTGGATAAATAGTGAATTATAGTAGATGTGATTTGTAAGATTGATTCGATTGATATTATTTAACTATATTGATAATATTGAAAAAGAGTTGTGTTAGATTCAATCTGAATTAAATTTTCTGTCAAATAATTTTAAAAAAATTATCCAAAAAATCAAGATCGATTATATTTTATAGCCAAATTGAGCCCCCCAATAGTTTCCATACTTAAATATATATAATGAAAAGTAAAAAAAAAATTAAAAAAAAAAAATCACCATCATCAAATCAAATTCAAGCTTATAAAAAAATGCTTCACACTCTTCAAAAAATTTTCCTCGATTCACCTAATACCCGCAATACCTACCCCCACCCCCCTTTTACTCCTATCTCTTAAACCCTAAAACCAAACTTTAATCTCTCAATCTAATTAATTTCCACTACCTTTCAAAAGTAAACACACACACACACACAAAATATCTCTTTACTATGAACTCATCATCATCATCTTCTTCATATATTCCACAACTAGAAAACAACGACGAAGGCGTGGGGCCCGCGGCCCAGCCAAGCCGTTACGAAAGCCAGAAGCGTCGGGACTGGAACACCTTCGGCCAGTACCTCCGCAACCACCGGCCGCCGCTCGACCTCCGCCGCTGCAGTGGGGCCCACGTCCTCGAGTTCCTCCGCTACCTCGACCAGTTCGGGAAGACCAAAGTCCACGCCCCGGAATGCCCCTTCTTCGGCCGACCCGACCCGCCCGGGCCCTGCCCGTGCCCGCTCCGCCAGGCCTGGGGCAGCCTCGACGCCCTCGTCGGCCGACTCCGCGCAGCCTACGAGGAGAACGGCGGCGGCGGGCCGGAGACCAACCCGTTTGGGGCCCAGGCCGTCAGGCTCTACCTGCGAGAGGTTCGGGACCTGCAGTCGCGGGCTCGAGGGGTCAGCTACGAGAAGAAGAAGCGCAAGCGGCCGCCGCGCGCCGGAGATCGGGGGTCGCCGCCGACGGCAGCGGCGGCCGGCGAGGGTTCGAATTAGGGTTTCTGATTTTATCTTTTTTAGGGGTTTTTAGTTTCTAATTATATCTGGAAAAAAGTATGTGGGGGAAGTAATTTTATGCTCACGCTCAGAAGTGTGTGTTTGATATTGTGTCATGTATGGGTTTTTTCATTTTAATTTGTTTATTTATGTTTTTTTTTACTTGTCTTCAGATTTTTGCTGTGTTTAGTGTTTTCAAAGATGTTGGGTGTGTTTTATTTTTGTTTTCAATTTTTGTTTTTCAAATAACAATTTTTTGTTAATTCGGCTCCTGAAAATCGAGTCCAGCTTGGCTCATTCAGTTGCTTACACGGCTAATCGGGTTAATTAGTTTAATTATCGAGGTGGTTTATTATTGTTGTTCATGAAGAACCCGTTTGGTTACTTACTTTTTAGTTTATAAATGAAATTGGGCAAGCTGAACTTCAATCGAACTCGTTTAATTAACGAGTCGAGTTAAATATATTGTTCATGAAGAACTCGTTTGATTAATTACTTTTTAGGTTATAAATGAAATTGGGCGAGCCGGACTTTTTCATAAATAGATATATTTTGCGGTTGCGAACAGCTCGTTTAGGCATTTGGGTTGATTCAACGAATTTATGAATGGACAGTTATGTTAGATTTGTCAAAGTAGCTACGAACTTGCTCGTTTATTAAATGAATATGAGTTCGAATTATATGAGTTGATTTGGCTCGAGTTGAATAACACCTACGGACAACTTTTGCAGGTTTACTATTAGGCCGAGGCTTGGATCTTTCCTCATTGTCTAATTGAAAATGGTAATGCTTTTGTGTGTGTGTGTGTTTTTTTTTTTTTCTTCTTTTGTTTATTCTAATTGTTTGGATAAATGCAATATTATTGGTGTATGGTTGGTTTTAGGTTTGGTTCATTATTGCTTACGTGAGTGAATCTTTATGATAATTTAATTAAATCGTAGTGTTGTCGCTTCAATGGAAGTGGATGAAATAATTGAAACACACAACACAAATATATAGATCTTAGGTTCTAAATATTACAATGTCCAAATCAATCTTTTTTTTAAATCTTATGTTAAAGACACGAAAAATATGACCATGTGCATTGTGCAATAATGCTACTGAAAGTATGAAAAATAGTGTTAGCAAGATCACAAAATGAAGGATCTAGTCAAGTGCTTCGTGTTTCGTGCTCGTTTAATAAACAAGTCATCATTATTCAGTTTTTTGGTACTCATAATTTGTGTCATTCGTAAAAGAAAAAATTGTGTGTTCATTAAGATTCGCACTCAACTATTCATTTGTAATTTATTAAAAATAAAATAAATTGAGTTGAATAAGCACGGCTTGACTCGTTTAATAACTATTTAATAAATGAGTTTGTTTAGTTGTTGTAGCACAACTCATTTACATAAGTGAATGAGTTTAACTCAAGTTTTCACTGAGTCTGGCTGAATCTAACTGTATTTGGCAAACAATTAGATTCGACAAATTAAAAGTCCACACCAAATAATTGATGTCTAGGCATTGCTTTGCAAATTTATGAGAAGACTTTGATATTAGGCATTATTTAGCAAGTTTCATGTGGGCGTATATTATTACCTTCTCAAAATTTTAGGGATGATTGGATATGAATTCAACTAGTAAAAAACTAGTTTTTTTTTTTTTTTAATTATAGTTAAGTTTGAAAAAAAAGTAGTACGGTTAGTTGTTAGTGAATATATTAAAATAATATTAAATTAAAATAATTAAAGTTGATTTGATGTAAAAGTAAGAGAAAATGATTAGAAGTGATGGTTAGTTAAAATAATGTGAGTGGGTGAATAGTAAATTAAATTTGATGTGATGTCTAATAATGATTGCTTGATATTATTTAATTATATTGATAATATTGGAGATAGTGGAGTTGAGTTAAATTTGAGTTTTGAGTGAGATATTTACTGTACAAATTATATACAATCGCGCCCTTAGCCCTACTTATTTATTAATATTTTCCTTAAGCATCATTTTGAGTCACTATTTTAATTTAAAATAATTTTGTGTGGCAATTATCCATGCACCATGACACGAAATAATACCATTAATTCGAAATATGAGACTGATCTCTTGCCAATGAATTTTGCCCTCATTTTTTCTCAATACAAACAGAAAAAGGGAAGGAAAAAGGAAACTATTACTCATTATAGTATTATACTAAATGAATATATATATAATATTATATTATATTTTAATTGATTTTTAAGATATAATATTTAAATATAAAAGTCTACATATTTTTATAAAATACACGACCTTATGTATAACCGACATTTTCTCCTTATTGCTTAATTTCTTTTCATGTGGTGGCTGCTAATTAATCATCTGACCATATTTCTTTAGTCTACAAAATAAATTAACAAAAAAAAAAAAGAGTAGAGTAAAAATTTAAGTTTTCTTTTTCCATTTTAGAAGAAAAATCCCAACATTGCCGACACAAGTACATGATTGGCAAATCGTTTTCAACATTGCTCTGACATAGAAGAATTTTCCACGTTCCTTTTCATTAATTTCTCTTTACTAAAGTAACAAAAAAGCTCATGAGATTTTGTTTCTACCTGACCAGAAAAATATTCTTTCATGTGATCAAGATTATATCATAGAAAAATAGCACAGAATAATTTGTTTTCCCATGATTATGAACTTCTATGATAATTTATATTTTGCAGAAAGTTCAACGTCGATTGACCTGATAGTATTTAACTTAAAAAAGCTAATGATAAGTGAATAAATTACCGAAATTTGGGCAAATTTGGCCGTTTTTTTTTCTTTAACGTTCCCAAAAATAAAAAACTCGATGAGTAGGATAAAATTTATCGTGTTTTGGATAGAGTTTGAATATCAACACCTATTAATTTAACATACTATTTTTAAAAATGGTACTATATTTTAAGAAAACAAAATTAATCGAAGTACGACATTTAACAAAATGTGTATTATATTTTGTTCAAGTGACGGGTTAACCGACTAAATGTTAAGCTGTCTCACATAATAATCTAAAATTTTACAATTACTAAAACCCTTGATTGCGAGAAGAGCAATTCTAACTTTAATATTGCATTAAATTATCTAAAGTTTCAATAATTAAACTAGATTTGCATAGTACAAAGAATATGATAATAAGTAAACACATTTCATTGAAATTAGTAAACATAAAATAGCAACAATTAACTTCCTTAATATATGTGGAAAAAAACATACTACAACACATAAATAATCCAAGAAAGAGATATAAATTAAAAGATTGATTAAAATTTCCAATGTAACTATTTCGTTAGAATTGTGTTGGAAAGGTGAGTTAGTTTACTAAATTTGTGTTGAATTTGTTTCAATGAACTTCTAAATACAAAAGAAGAAACGGCCAGTTAAACAACAAAAAGGTCGTCTAATTTAGGACCAACCACACAGATACGTTCGAAAGGACGTCACATAAAAGATCTTATGAAGCGATACAAAAGGGAAAATTCGAGAAGACTGTAGAAACACCCAGTGACCCTCATATATTATTTAAAAAAAGAAAAATGATAATAAAAATAAAAAACAAATAATGAAATTGTTTAGTTAACTAATTAATACTCGAAAAGAACAAGTCAAATTCTAGAAAAGTCCAATTTTCAGAATTTTCACTGTACATCTGCCAGTATTACTATTTAACAATAAATTTTGATAAATTGAATACAGTACAGTACTTTTGCTAGCTGCATTTGCATGATCATATATGATTTATTATCACGCAACAAAAGCAAAAATAATACTCGTATGACCCTGTAAGAAACGGGGGGAAATGGGTACGATCTTACGCACGTGAAGCGCATCATAAGAGTATCCATCTCAAAACCAATTGGTGGAAGGAATAGTAGTCCATTAGACTTATAAGTTAGACTTATTTTCCTAATATAAATAATGTGAGACAACTCACAAGTGAATATTCTAATAGACTCATTTACTAATTAACTAATTCCTTGGGATTTATTCTTTGATCGGAGATAAAAATTTTCTATTTTTGTCAGACATTAGAAAAAAATACGTATGATATTATTCATCTCGTTTCACATTTTTTTTCCACAGTTTCACCAACACAATTAAAAAATAAAAAGTAACCATATTTGTATATTTTTGTAAGAAATACCATTCATCCCGTTGCATATCAATAATACTAAATCTCTCTAACATTAATAACCAATTTTTTGGACTATTGTACACGTAATGAATAAAAAAATAATAAATTACAAAATAGTACGAAAATAAAAGTGACCTAATCACTGGACATTGTAGTACAGGTAATAAAAAATCACTGATTTTTGCAGCAGCTCGTGACAGCTTGCAAGAATACTCAAATCAATCTGAAAATCATTGGCTGTTCAAAACAGAAAGTAAAGCAAAAGGTGAACATCTATTTCAATGTGAGTACGTACACGGGTTGTGTTTTAATTTAATCAATAAATCCAGTTGTCGACTAAAATACAAGTAACACAACACATAAATACGCCAAGAGTACTGTACACATGTTGTACTTCTTGATAAAAGAGACAAATTCAGTCTTTACAACAAACTTCAAATTTCAAAATCTCCTCAAGATGCAAATAAGCATAAGTACAAATATATGTATTCGGTTTCTTGGGTTGGTTGGATGGTAGAAAACTGAAAATTCATTTAAAATGACATAATTGATAACCTATTGATTTATTATATTAAATAAATTTACGGTAAATTCTTTAAAAAAGCTCAAATTTATCTCAAACGCTTATAATTTTATTGAAATTTTTGTTACAACTAGTGCTATTAAATTAAATGAGCCTGACTTGACTCGAGCTTGGCTCATACCGAGCTCGAGGCCTTAATGAGCCAAGCTCGAGCTCATTTAAAGCTCGTTTAGAGCTCGACTCTACAAGGTTTGAAAATAAAATTTTTACATAATTTTCTATAATTTCTGACTCGTTTATTTAACGAGCCGAGCTCGACTCGGCTCGTTTACTAGTTACAACTAGCTTACCAGTCAACCACTAAAATTAACTTGTTATCTATATTTATTGAAATTTTTGTTACATCTAGCTCACCAGTGGCCTGAAATGAACTTACTTGCTAAAGCTCGATCATTAGTAAAAACTACCAAGCACATCCAAGGTGTTAAAATTAACTTACCACTTGTTTTCAGCTATAGCTCGATCATTAGTTAAATTTACCAAGCACATCCAAGGTGTAAAAATTAACTTATCAACTATAGCTTGATACTAAATTTAACAAACAAATCCTGGCTGTGCCATATTAAACTTGAATTAAAATTGAGATTATTATTAAAAAAACAACTGAAGTGCCTGAAGAACACTTCATGAGGGCTGATTTGAACTGTCCATATTGACAGTATTCTGACTCCAAACATATAATGACAATTGGATTCAATAACTCACTGGTACAGATTGCCCTTAATTATATTAACCAATCAATATTATACAAATAGTTTTTGATAATTGGACTTGTTGATCATTGGTGATTGTCCTTAGTCACATTAGCCCAAACAAAATTCACATTCACATAGATAGCTAAAGGAGCTCAGTTAATCACTGCCATTTGGCTAATATTGAATTTGTTGAAGGATGTGCATTGAGCTGAAAAGCCCTGGAATCAAAACTACCACAAAATAAACTGCATCAAGTCCCTATTCGACTCCAAAAGACGAGTTTATATGAAGACATGTAATATAGCCTTAAAACATCAAATTCATGAGGGAATTTTTGCTGCAGGTTAAGACCAAGCCCTCGTATTTTGGATATGCAATTGCTAGTATCTGGAATGATTATTCATGTATATATTGATGCATGATATTACGTTTTCACCACTTCTATGTTATACTATGAGCTTGTTCAGAATTTCCAACTAAAGCTTATAAACAAGTCTGAACACTTACAAGGCAACCAGACTTGAAGCTCGTTCGATTGCTTAAAAAAACGACAAGTATCTATGGAAATATCAAAGCAAACTTCCACTTGTATACGGTATGACCAAACCCTTAAGAGTTACTAAATCACATTATAAACAAGTGAACACTTATAAGGCCACCAGAACTTGAATGCTCGTTCGATTGTTGCTTAAAAAAGGGCAAGTAAGCAAACTTCCACTTGTATATGGTATGAACAAAGACTTTCTTCATGCTTTTTTTTTTCTATTTTATTTAAAAAAGAGGCACACTATTATGCTCCAAATACAAATAGTGGCACTCTCAATAAGCTGTAATCATACATGAACTATTAAAAGCAAACTTTAGTTCTCCATAGATTAAGATGATCAATAGCATAAAAACGCCTCAACTTGAGAAGAAAGCTTGAATTAAATTTGTTCACGGAANAAACGAACACAGCCGATAATCAAACACAACCACACACCAGACTCCAAAGAACCAAACAATCATATTACAAACCAAGCACAAATACAATCAATGGATGCCCATTATCATCCTCTTCCAACCAGCCGAATTAATTGAACATAGAAAGAGATCGATCAAGATCAAGAGAGAGCAGAGTAACATGAACACTAGTGTCTCAAATTAAATCCTCTTCCAAAAACAGCAAACAGAAAACCACACAGCCCATAATCAAACACAATCTGAATCACAAATAAAGCACAATCAAAGGGCGCCCACATCATCCTTTTTCCCCCAATTACCCAAATCAATCGAGCATAGATAAAGTGAGAAAGCAGAATTAACACAAAACTAGGTCGAAATTCGAAATTACTTGGGGGAATAGCGAAGAAGCTAGTTGTAGTAGAGCTCGAGGCCCATGCCGTCGTGGACCTCGTAGTCCTTGAGGGTGATGTGGTCCTTGTAGATGGTGTACCATTTCTGGATCCTGATCTTGTCGGCGCGTGTGCCGGTCTGTGCGGCGACCAGCTTCTTGAGGTCTCCGATGGTGTCGTCCTCGTTGCACTTCACTCGGACCTTCTTGCCCAGGCGGTCGTTGAGCACCACTTCTATCATCTTCGCGATTTTCTTCTTCTCCTTCTGAGTGACCAAAGGATTGGCTGATGAATGGTATTGACTATTGTAAGCCTAGGGACACAGGATGAGGACGATCCTAGAATGTTCCTTGGATTCTAGAAGGTGTCTTCCGGAGATTAGTTTGTGTAAATGAACGGCAACTCGAGTTGGGCTTATTTATCAAAATTCAAATTTTAATGAGTCAAAATTGAGTTCAATTAAAGAAAAATACATAAAAATAATATTTTGGAGTCTAGTCCAGCTAACTTGTTAATTGAACGGGTTTTAAATAAGTTCGAGCTCGACTCGTTTACCAAATGAGTTGAGCTGGACTAAACGAGTCGAGCCTTAACGAGTTGAGTCGATTTGAGCTCATGAGCCTCTTGTTTAATTTAATAGTTCTATTCTTATCAATAACATTTCATAAGACTTTTTTTTGTGCAAGTGTGTATTAGATCGATCTGGCCTGATCCGAACTCCAAAATAAGNTTTTTTTTTTTTTTTTTTGCATTCATATTGTGATATGAGATATTATATATATTAGACCAGTTCAGTTGACTGGGGGAATAAACCAGATTAATTGATTTGGTCGAGCGAAGTCCACGCTGGTCGATGGGAGACGAAGGTCACGATCGCAAGAATCTTGGGAGATTCAACAGGTCCCGGCTTTGCAGAAAACCTGGTCAAAGGATTAAGCGGTCGACCAAAGGGTCGTAGGATCGACCACCACCTACGTTAGGGGCTGCTTAATGGCTTGCTCAGATCTGGTCGAACATAAGAGCCTCCAAGGGAATCTCTGACCCACGTGCGTGGGACACGTTGCGCGAGCTAATTAGTCTATGTCAATAACCGTTTCTGACACATTCCTGACACACCTACCCAGGAATTGTACTATCGGGCAGCCTAAGGCAACCAGCTCACCAATTTCGGGTAACTTCTAAAACATGTATCTCATTTCTATATATAGGGTGAGCCTTATGAATACAATGCTATCTCTCCTACTCCATTAACACTTATACTGTATTCTCAAGACCGACTTAAGCGTTGGAGGCTCCTCACCGGAAAATCCCCCGGTGTGAGAGTTTTGTGCAGGTTCCGAGGTTCTACCGACGAGGAGATCGAGAGGGAAGCGGTTCTCAACCGGTTGGAATGTCACACCTGTATTATATTGTTTTTAAAAAATAATTAATTATTTTCATTTATCTTTATTATAAAACTTAATTATTTATTAATACTATATGTAAAATAATAAAACTATACATCAATTGAAAAATTATCTATAATGTTATTTTAGGACTTGGGTTTGAGAAATTATTATAATATGAGGGAAAAGGTACCTATTAAATAAAAATAAGAATACAATTTTTTAAAAAAAAGTGGGTATAAAATTCTAAAACGGGTCGAACATTTCGACATTCCATTATTTCTTCCGATCTCTAAAAATGGCCCACCAGAAATAGGAAAAACCTCCGTCGGTCTTCCCGCTGCCGCCTGAATCAAAACGACTGCGTTTTCCGCGCGTCAACCAATCTCCACCGGCGCAGATCGTAACTACGGCTCGATCTCGGCCCTCAACCACTCACTCGTATGTTCTTGTCTGTATACGCTGAAGTTGGGGAATTGATTGCGCCCTCGGAAAATTAATCGCAAAGGAGATGAACATCAGCCAGGCGGCCGTGCACCCTGTGGAGGCGCCGCCGCTGCAGACGGAGGGTGCGGGGAACTTGCCGCTGCCGCGCGTGAGGATGAGGGATCTTCAAGGGATGCCGGGGACAGTCGGCGGCCTGGCGTTGCGCGTGGCGCAGCTCTTGTTCGCAGTCGTGGCTCTCACGGTGATGGCAACCACCAGTGACTTCCCTTCCGTCACCGCCTTCTGGTAATTCAGTCTTACTCTGACCCAATAGTTCACTAATTTGGTTAAAATCGTTTGTTCTAGACCTTGGGTAATGTTTGCTTTTGATGCAATACAAGTTTCAGTTTACATTTTTGAGGTTTCATGTGCTTTGAATAGCGTTATTCGGACAGAAGTGGTCGATCCTGCTCATGTTAGTGGTATAGTTGTGAAATGAATTTGTTAGTACTGTAAGATAGCACTGGAACTCGTTAGACTCATCTTTTTATAGTTTCTGGATGAAATAAACTTCAATAGACTTATTGAGTTTTTGCATTCGTCTAGTGATGTTACTTGTTAGCGTATCAAAATATTGATTTTTCATTGCGAAGTTTGCGACTGTAAATTAGAGTAGCCTCGATTGATTTGTATGGCTAATTCATTGTAAAAAGTAACTGGTTCCATCGGCCCGTGGGAAGTTGCTCGATTAGAGGGGTTTTGGTTTCCATTAATGTATTTGCTGTAGGTAAGTGTCCTGCCATGAACATTATCTACTCTCTTATCAAATGTCAAATTGTCTGATGCCTTAGGTAGTGCAATGAAGGGTTAACAAAATCAGGGTTTCGTGTGAAATTGTAGGAATTCAAAAGAGTCTGGAGTACCTTATGCAATTTTTGCAGCGGGTAATGATACTTTGGGAAATATATTTCTTAAACTGACCGAAGTTATAAATCTGCTTACATTGTCTGTCCTTATTGCAAAGTGAGGTTGATGGAAATTGGGCATTTGCTGTTGCATTGTTTTGGGGACCTTGTTGTGTTCCTTATCTATAATGATATTGCTGAGCATTTTTTAACTCTCCGAATGCAACGTGCTTTTATCTAATAGACTTCTTCCACCTAGTAATACTAGTCAACTGCATTAAGGAACAAGTATGAATAGACTGGAAAGTGTAATCTTTATATTTTGTATGTCACACAAGGGAAGTTCATATTTCAGGATGTCTGTAAAATACTTTGTTTCTCTTTCTTTTTCGTTCTGGGCTTATGGTCTGTTAAAGACTTCTGCGGTGGTTTTCCAGGACAATGTTTCTTGTTTGATGTAAGTATGTTTTGTTTGGTCTTATATAAATAGGCTCTAAGCTTCTTCTTGTTTTCATCTTATTTAGCTACCTTGTTGCTGCTGCTGGTTTTCAGAGCCTGTGGAGCCTTGTTTTAGCAATTCTTGATGCTTATGCACTTCTTGTTGGACGTCGTTTGCAGAATCCTCGAGTCGTCAGTTTATTTGCTGTAGGTGATGGGGTAAGTTCATTGCTGAGCTGAAATGATCACATACACATTGAGCACTCCTGTTGCTTGACTTTCAATGCTTTTATAATTATATGATCTTCGTTTCTCATGATGTGTTAATGTCAGAAGCCTTCTTTCAGTTACATCTGTACATATGCACTCAGCATACTCAAAATATTTTTTAGTTTATTTCCAGAGGGTCCCATCTTCAGTTTCTGATATTTTATGTCTGGGAAACGATATCACATAGCTTTTTGAATATTTATTAACCCTACTCATCAGATATTTAATCTTCAGTAACTTTTGCATTGGCTAAATATCGAATTGAAATGATATTCTTGTGGTGTTTATTTTGGCCCGTAAGGGTGTGATAATAATCCTAGGGCGAGAGATCAGTGCTTGATAAGTTGAAGATCTAAGCACCTCTATTTATTGTTCATTGTAGATGCATAAATATTTGACAAGCTTCATATATTTGGCAGCTGTTGATATGCAATACTTAACTAACTGTGTAGTAACATTTCCTTGTTCGACTTTAGTTTTCTGTACTGGGCCATGGTCATAGGTTCTCCATGTTACACTGGGTTTTGCTTTCCTTTTTCTGTTCCTCGATTTTATCAAAATTCTCGGTTCTTTTATATAAAACACAAATTTGACTTCGGTTTTGCAAAATGTGATGCTTCTACAAGACATACAAGATTTTAGTCGCAACGCGGTTTGTTTGTTTGTGATCAATCTAATGCAGTATCGTAATCAATTAATTCTCCGGAAGCCTTTATTACAACATTCAATAAATTTGAATATGACTGTACTCCCAGTTGCTACTTATTAGTTTGTGATCTCTGGTTATTGAATATGCATAATCACCTTGTACAGTTGTACTTCCTCTTTGATTAAGGTACAGTGTTTGATTAAGGTATATATGTTCTTTAATTAAGGTATATATGTTCTATTAGAGGTATCCGAACACCAAATATCATTAACAATTAGCAGCAGGTTATTTATTATCTGTTTGGCTCAGGAAATTGGCGCTTGTACTCATTGGAAATCCAGTTATTTGCTTTCTTCAAGGTTCAATTCAATTAAATATCTTTTCCAGATTTGTTCTCTCAGTGAACCCATGTCTCTGATCAATCCTTATCTCCATAACCATTGGTATTAATGTGCTTAAGACTTTTTCCTAAATTGTGACAAAAATATTTGGTTGATGTTCAACACCAAAAAAATCTTCATCAAGAAGCCTGTCTGTCAAATTTACTCATTCAAATCTCGCTGCAACTTTTTCATGTAACTGAATGAGTTTTCTTGATTTACCAAACCTAACCTTCTCTACTATGATTGGATTTTGAAGGTTTTTCAAATCCCACTACATTATATTTTTGTTCTTGCAGGTAACTTCTACCCTAACGTTTGCTGCGGCCTGTGCATCTGCCGGCATTACTGTTCTAATCGGGAACGATTTGGGGTCGTGTGATAGAAATCATTGCACAGAGTTCGAAACAGCTACAGCCATGGCCTTCCTGAGTTGGTTCACTTCACTGCCTTCTTTTCTGTTGAATTTCTGGTCTTTGGCATCAAGATGACGAAATTTATCCTCAACTGGCACAATGTTGGAGGAGTTGTTTGTAATTTGTATGAATTTCGCTTGATAATTTTTTGGTACTCTTGACTGTGATTAGACAAATATAGAACTAATAGAAGGCATACATTTGGTGTGCGTTCTTGTGTATATACGATGCAGAACAGTGTAAATTCAGTGTTCCAATCTGTTCAAGGTTTGGCTTTTCTATATCTCTCTTCTCATAGCCCAGAATCAAGACTGCAAGGGCAAGTTTCGTCGAAATACAAGGAAGCATTTCATTCTCAAAGTTTAATTCATTTCATATTCAATCCAAGTTTAACTCAAATTCCACCATCTTCAATATTATCAATATAATTAAATAATATCAATTAATATTCTTACATATTACATCAACTTTAATTCATTCACTCACATAATTTTAATTAACCATTATTTTCCATCATTTCTTTCATACTTTTTCATCAACTTATAATTATTTTATTTTAGATATTATTTTAATATAAACTCAAAATATCATTAACAGTTAGTTATATCACATTTTTCAAAATTTATCATAGTTAACCAAATTTGTCCATTGCAAATGGAGCTGGAAGAGTCATTGTTGACAATTCTCCTGGCATAGTGCTAATAATGGGCTAGGTCAAAATGGCTCAATAAAATTCTAGTGCTCTATTAGTGAAGTTTCTAGAAAAAAAAATATATCAAACGGCGCAATGCACCTTGGGTCGGAAACAACCTCGTATAATTACAAGGGTAAGGTCTGCGTACAACTGATCCCCCAGACCTCAACCTGTTGGGAATATACTGGGTATGTTGTTGTTGTTGTTGTTGTTGTAATCATAGTTAACAAAAAAGAATCGTTTGAGCGGATATATTTGTATCCAAGCAAGTGAATTGAGAATCTGTAACTTGATTTTCTGTCAAGTAGTCCAAACCTCAGGAGTAAGTTATAGTAATTCTTGAAGCAATTTCTTGCAAAACGATAGAGATTTGCAATCGAACAAACACAATATTACATGTAAATCAAGAAAACCAACAAAAAGAAGAAAAAAAGCTCGTGCCTTTTTGTCGGCCACAATCATCATATCTCAAGCTGCTCGAGGCATTTGAGGGCCGTTGACTCGTCCACATCACACATGACATAACTCCCGGAGGCGACAATCTCCTCACGGGCCGCTGCAACTCCTAACGGGCCGGGCCCACATGCAAATACGGGCCCCGCCAGCCTGGCAGCATGCACAGGTGGCGCCGCGGAGAAAACCGGCACAGCCGAACGCACGGCCACCGGTGGTGCTATTCCCCGGTAAGTTTTTTGCCGCCGTTGATCGATCGGGACATAAGGAACCTGAAATTCCGGTAAGAGTATTTGTCGTGATGATAAATTGTCGTGTGTTTTACGGGAGAAGAGTGGAAGGATTTTCGATGTTGAGGTCGACTGAGGGAGGATAATGCTGCTTTGTGTGTGAAATGGTAGAGGGAGAGATTTTAGATTGTTGTTTGGGTTTTTTTCGGGTTTTTTTAACTTGAGACGGTAATTCTTCAAGGCCCTTGCGATTTTGATCTGTTCCTGCTCGTCGTTGTTGTTATTTTCGTGTTCTGCAGAGGAACTCGCTTCTTCTTGACGTGCCACTGTGAAAAAAGTAAAACGAAAACAGTGAAAAACCGGAGTTAGTCAGTTAGTTAGTTACCTTTTCTTTTTCGAGACTACACACGAGGTCACGACTCACATTTTTTCAATGCTAACCAAGCAGCAAGCGCAGCATTCTTCTTGGCTTGCTTCTTGTTCTTAGCGGGTTCTCCTCTAAATGTGATTCCGGCCAATTCAACACTACCGGTGAAAACCGGTAAATGTCTTAAACCGGACCTGAATGTCGTGTAATGAGGCAAAGGGGATCCAACTCGTTGTGAAATCTCTTGCAACAGGTTCTTATAAACCCCTGTCTCATCCTAACCATCAAAAAAAATTTCCAAAATTTCATCACGGTTTTTCAGAAGTTCGATGATGATAAGTTGCTAACTAACTCTTTCTATTCCGAATTTGAATCTATTTCTCGTACAAGTTTAGTTTNTTTTTCGTGTCTCGTTTTTTTCTTAAACAAAAGATTTATAGTTTCTCTGGTTTTTCTAAATAATCCTTACATTCAGTTAGAAGAGATCATCAAGTTAGGCATGTATTTGTTAAGCACATTAAATTGAAGGAGACAATACTATAAATTGTGCCCCTTCATCTGAATTTTATTTCCGACATCTTTTATGAAGGAAATGAATATGAAAGAAGAGACCCAATCACTCCTAACCTTATCAACAATTAAATCTACAATCATCTATGACATTTCATACATTTCGTGGGCATTTTGTTAGGCCAGCCTAATCAATATAAGTCTGACATACTTTTTCTACAAATATTAGAAAAAGAAGTAAACAAAAGTATACAACATTTGATAGTTCAAGTATACATTTTTTGTCAGACTATAACGGGTCGACCCACCAAACACAATAGTTTGTATTCACACAATAATCCCATAATCATATTACATCAATTTATGTGTGAGGTAGTCTAACCATTAGGCAGGTCGTCATATTATTTGAACAAAAATAATACTTACATTATCAAATGTCATACTTTTGTTTATATTGTTTTTTAAAATATGACATAAATCACATAAACTAATGAAAGTGTGCACATATATTAGCCTAACACAAGATCAATTGATTATAATTATATAGATAGATAAATTTGAACTCACATAATTTTCCCCCAATTGAAGTAGACTAACAAGAATAAATCAACTCAATTGTAAATGTTAGGTACTTATGCACTCAAATTTTAAATGCATTCATACTAATTGTAATCATCATTAAAGATAATTTATCTACATATATTAATATAATAATAAATGTGTATAAATAACCACGAAGAAATTTCACACCTAGTGTCTTCATCAAGCAAGAATTCAGTATAACTAACTAATACACAACTTCTCTTCAAAACTGTACCACTTTGACTTATAATTTTTGGATTCATATGTTGAAATCATTTAATTAAGGGCATTACTATTCACCGCCCCCCAAATTACTAGTCACCGCCCCCCTTGGACAATTTTGCCCCTCTCATTTTTCGTAAACATCTCAGAGAAGTGTACGGTGAAATGTCGTCAAATTCCGAAGTACGAAAAAATTCGTGTCCGGACGTCGGTTCCGGACAGTTTAAAGCCCGTCCGGAACCGGCGGCCGGACGGCTTAAAGCCCGTCCGGAACCGGTGGCCGGACGGAGCAAATACCGTCCGGAAAGCACGGCCGGACGGACCGTGCCTGACCGGAACCGGCGGCCGGTCGGAACCGGTCCGTCCGGTCCGGCCGGCCGGACGGAATATTTTTTTTTTTTTTTTTAAATTATTATCATTATTATTATTAATTATTATTTTTATATAATTTATAATTTATAATAATTATCATTATTATTATTATTTATTNCCGGAACCGCCGGCCGGACGGTTCAACAGGTTTTCAAAAAATTTTTTAAAAATAGTTCGGCTCAAAAAAAAAAAAAAAAAAATACCTTGTCGGAGAAGAATCCTTTGCCGAGGCCGTAGAATTTTTTCGACATTTTTTCGGATTTTTTTTGATGCTCGAATCGTTCGTTGAAGTTCGGAAAATTTAGAGAGATAAAGTTTAGAGAGATGAAATCCAAAAAAATGTTAAGGGCAAAAGAGTAATTGGGGGGGGCGGTGACAAGTAAAAGGGGGGCGGTGAATAGCAGTTGAGTTAATTAAAGATGATAATAAAGAGGTTATCAATTTTCTGTTTTAGTCCTGTAAAATGACGAAAGTTCCCTCCTAAAGTGGGAATTTGACTAGGGGAAGACCCAAACGCAGCTGTAAATGAAAGCTTCCCACTTAATCACTAATGAGGGTGTTACCGTCATTTTGCAAAAAAAAAAGTTTTACACTCACACCGGCGCCGATCGGTCGCCGAAAACCACGGCGAGGTTCACAGCCAACTCGGAAATTCGCCAGCGCCAAACACTCAAGTTATTTTCACATTTCCGAAACCGAAATTTGAAAAGAAGTAAAAAAATGAATCGTATACGGGTCGCGATTTAGGGTAATAAATTATTCGATCGAATACAAATTCAGACGATTGACAGAGACGAATTTAATAATATTAGCGAAGGAGACGAACGGGCATACCAGTACACGGGCGGCGAGCGAGTGAGAGTGGCCGCGGGAGGAGAGGGAAGCTAGGGCGGCCTCGGCGGCGGAGTGCTCGGCTTGCCGGAGGTTGGGGTAGTAGTGAGGGCTCTCGAAGGTCTCGCCGTTGAAGGTGACGGTGGCCTTGAACCGCGGCGCGTGGTCGGGACCCTCCCTCAGGCACGTGTACGTCGGCATGTTGAAGCAGCTCCTCTGCGCCAGCTCCTGAAGCTGGTTCTTATACATCTCTCTCGGCCTCTGAATCCTTGTAAATTAGCTTCGGATCTTTTTTCAGCAGAGGGTCGGGTCGGTGAAAAACTCCGGGTTGGATATGGATCGGGTGGGTTAGAGAGCCGCCGGCCGCCGAGTTGGGCGGCGGTGGATTAAACGGAGCAATTTTTGGAAACAAATATCGGTGGATTAAACGGAGCAATTTTTGGAAACAAATATGATCCTCTCTTTT